TTGATCCCTTCTCTTTGTGCATTGCCAAGTTCATGTTCCGGATCTCTACTTAATTGGTCTCTTCTCTTTGTACATGTGCTTCCACTAGTCTAGCCTCTCCTTGTCAAGTTCATGTTCCGGATCTTTGTTTAGTTGATCCCTTCTCTTTGTGCATTGTCAAGATTATATTCCGGATCTTTGCTTAGTTAGTCTCTTCTCCTTGTGCATGTACTTTCCACTAGTCTAGTCTCTCATTGTCCAGTTTATGTTTGATGTGGTGTTCCGGATCTTTACTTAGTTAGTCTCGTCTCCTTGTGCATGTACTTTCCACTAGTCTAGTCTCTCATTGTCAAGTATATGTTTGATGTGGTGTCCCGAATCTTTACTTAGTTAGTCTTTTCGCCTTGTGCATGTACTTTTCACTAGTCTAGTCTCTCATTGTCAAGTTTATGTTTGATGTGGGATTCCGGATCTTTACTTAGTTAATCTCTTCTCCTTGTGCATGTACTTTCCACTAATCTAGTCTCTCATTGTCAAGTTTGTGTTTGATGTGGTGTTCCGGATCGTTACTTAGTCAGTCTCTTCTCCTTGTGCATGTGCTTTCCACTAACCTAGTCTCTCATTGTCAAGATCATGTTCCGGATCTCTACTTAATTGGTCTCTTCTCTTTGTGCATGTGCTTCCACTAGTCTAGCCTCTCCTTGTCAAGTTCATGTTCAGGATCTTTGCTCAGTTGATCCCTTCTCTTTGTGCATTGTGAAGATTATGTTCCGGATCTTTGCTTAGTTAGTCTCTTCTCCTTGTGCATGTACTTTTCACTAGTGTACTCCCTCATTGTCAAGTTTATGTTTGATGTGGTGTTCCGGATCTTAACTTAGTTAGTCTCTTCTCCTTGTGCATGTAGTTTCTACTAGTCTAGTCTCTCATTGTCAAGTTTATGTTTGATGTGGTGTTCCGGATCTTTACTTAGCTAGTCTCTTCTCCTTGTGCATGTATTTTCCACTAGTCTAGTCTCTCATTGTCAATTCTATATCTGATGTGGTGTCCCAGATCTTTACTGAGTTAGTCTCTTCGCCTTGTGCATGTACTTTTCACTAGTCTGGTCTCTCATTGTCAAGTTTATGTTTGATGTGGGATTCCGGATTTTTACTTAGTTGATTTCTTCTCCTTGCGCATGTACTTTCCACTAGTCTAGTCTCCCACTCTCAAGTTTGTGTTTGATGTGGTGTTCCAGATCTTTACTTAGTTAGTCTCTGCTCCTTGTGCATGTGCTTTCCACTTATCTAGTCTCTCGTTGTCAAGATCATGTTCCGGATCTCTGCTTGATTGGTCTCTTCTCTTTGAGCATATGCTTCCACTAGTCTAGCCTCTCCTTGTCAAGTTCATGTTCCGGATCTTTGCTTAGTTGATCTCTTCTCTTTATGCATTGTCAAGTTCATGCTCCGGATCTTTGCTTAGTTGATCTCTTCTCTTTGTGCATGTGCCTTCCACTAGTCTAGCCTCTCGTTATCAAGTTTATGTTTGATGTGATGATTCCGGGTCTTATTTAGATGATCCTCTTTTCTGTGAGTATATGTTTCTCATTGGTCTCGTTTCTCATTGTTATATTATTCCAAGATATACTTATTCAATCTCTCGCTATGGGGCGGGTGATCAACGTTGGGTTGCTGCTACGGGGAGCTGATTTGATTAGGAGTTCTTCTTGTCTCTCTCTCTCTCTCTCTCTCTCTCTCTCTCTCTCTCTCTCTCTCTCTTCCTCTCTCACTCTCTCTCCCTCTCCCTCTCCCCCTTTTCCTCCTTCCTCCTCTAGACCTCTCTTCCCCCCCCCTTTTATCACCTTGCCTTCTCCCTCCCTCTCTCCCGTCCCCTCACTTGGCATATGACCAACCCTTCTCCCCTCACTTGGAAACATTGCCAGGGCACAGACGGTAAACGAAATCATACTTCACTTGGTGGAGAAAGAGGGCAAGGGGAGGATAGCCGGTCCCTTGTGCCACCAAGGAGGCAAAAGAGAAAGGACGGTTGAAAAAGTGGGAGAAAGGCGGCATCCGGAAGATAAGTTGAAAGTGAGGTCAGTTTGACTCAACCATTTCCCCGACTGCATGACTATGAGAAGAGAATGGGTTGATTGAGCATCAAGAGGGAACAAAGAGCAGCCAAAGGATTTGAAAAGATAGACAT